CTGTCCGTCTCTCCATCCATCCATCCATCCATCCATCCATCCATGCTTTCATCCATCCATCTGCCAACCCAACCACCTATCCTTCTATCCATCCACTTACCAACTCACCCATCCATGAATCCACTCATCATCCATCCATCCATCCACCCATCCATCCATCTGTCCGTCTCTCCATCCATCCATCCATCCATCCATCCATCCATCCATCATCCATCCGTTCATCATCCATCCATCCATTCATCCATCCATTGACACTTGTGTTGTTTCCACGTTCTGGCTCTCGTACTTTGTGTTAATGCCAAGTATCTGTTCGTGTACCTGCTTTAACTGCTTGGCTGCATTTTCCGTGTCGAGTTATATCTCCTTCCTGTTTGTGGAGGAGCTGAAGCATTTTCCCTTGTTGGTTTTCTTTTCTTTTTCTGCTCCCCTTGTGTAGGGCTTTCCTTTGTCTCTTTTTCCCACCCTCCTTCAGTGCCAGGTAGTCACATGGACAGTCTGATACAGATCTTTGTGTCCTTAAAGCGCGCGCGCACACACACACACACACACACACACACACACACACACACACGACTCAGGCTCTGTGCTGTCAGGGCAGAGCCCCACACGGGGCTTGAATTCAGGAGCCATGAGATCGTGACCTGAGCCGAGGTCAAGAATTGGACCCTCAACCGACTGAGCCACGCAGATGCCCCTACATACTGAATTTTCGACCCAGGAATGCCTCCTTTTCTCATCCCACTCGTGATAAACCCACTTACTTCTTTCTGCCCTTGCATTTTCATTGTTTTTTAGCCTCTACGCGAGGCGCGGAGCCCCACAATGAACTGGTATTAATTAACAAGCGGATTGGCCAACATGATTCATCCTGTTTTTCCTTCTCTAGGCTCAGATTTTAAGTCGTTTGTGGCCACCTGGACCCCTCGTCTCTGCCCGCAAGCCCCAAGGGATGACTAAATACTTGACATTGTGTCTTTGAATATTGTGGCTCTTATCAGTAACCCCCCACGCGTTGCACCTTCTCTCCATACGAGAAAAGCCGTAGTAATGGAGATTTGAAGGAAAGATGAGCCAGGGGCACCAGGGCCCTCAGGATTTTTTTTTTTTT